TATTTAGTTGCATGTAAACAAAGGGGACAAACATCAACTTATTGGTTTATGTTTGATTGTACTGGTCTGGCTCTCTTGACATGTAATGGCCCCTGAACCAAAATAAGTTTGACACCCCTGGTGTACACCAGCTACTAGGCTTTACTGTAAAAGCCATCGCACGTAACGGATTTAAAAGGACCATAATAAGAATGTAGAACAGTTAAATAGCTGACAGAACATGATGAACAGTTCTCTTAAAAAAAATTTGTAAAAGAAGACCTTGGATCTTCAAACCCTGGTTAAAAATCTAACCCTTCATGAAATGAGTGACTTCAGAAATAAGCGCTCAGTCAGGTGAGGCTGTCCTGGGTATACAGTACTACATTAGGTATTTGGTACCTAAGAACTTTACCAACCAGTTGTATGTGATTGGACTGAGTGGAGGGAGAGGAATCAAAGCTTCACAGTAAATCCCAAACCTTGTTTCTCTGCCAATGACCTAATATGGTGTTGTCCCCTCCCATTCCAGCAGGTACTGGACTGTACCTTGAGGAGTGATACGCCGCGCTAACACCTGATACTTTTCGCCGTTGGTCAGTCTGCCAGCCACTCCGAAATACGAAGTGATGGAGGAATGGAGGTGGGAGGAGTCAGATTGGAGCTGGGAGGAGTCTGAAAGGAAGTGGGAGGAGTCTGTTGGCAGTTGAGCATGGTTTGTAGCTTCTTTATCCTCCAGGATTCCAGAAAGCTCCTCCCCTCCGAGTTCCTCCCCGGCTTCACTGTGATTGGCCCATTGGTTGAAGCTGTTGCTAGGTAACTTCCTCTTCCTGCTGCCCACCCTCTTCCTGGAGGATTCAGGGGTCAAAGGTCAGAGTTGTGTGATGACAAAATGAATGTAAAAACCGAGGTCCCCAACCTTTTTTGTACCAAGGACCGGTCGCCACTATCAGATATAGATTCTGAATGACCTTTGACCTGTTGTTTTTAAACATTGACAGATCATCTTTGAATGAAAAAAAGTAAAGGGACATGACTGGATTCTTTTGGAATGAAGTAAACTAGTAAAACTGAAGTATAATTTTTTTTTTCCATTGTGTCCGACTGCGGCCCGGTACCAAATGACCTACGGACCGGCAACGATCCCTGGACCAGAGGTTGGGGAGTCCTGTTTTACCACATCTTGAAAAAAGTAACATCCAGGTTTGGTGATGGATGGATGCAGGACGACTGCTGAAATTTTTCGGTACCATAGCAGTTTGTTGATGCGATGACTAAAATACAGTGATAGTGATGGTGACTGAAAGTTACCTAAAGTGGTAGGAGGCGCTAGTTGTAGCAGAACTGGAAGTGGAGGCATCAGTGGAGTCCTGATCAATGCTGACTGTTCTACTGGAAGAACTGGAAAGGAAAAAAAATTGACATTGTCACATGCTAACGTGTTGGAATAGTGGTGTGCTAATGGAATGGCACCTCTTCAGGCTCTGCAGTTCATCGAGAGTAAAATCAAAGATGTTGGCCATG